AGTTCCAAAATAGTGTTTTTAGAGTAATATGTTAATTTTTTTCTTATTTTAAATAAAATAATTCAGGCCGAGTGTGGTGGCTCACACCTGTAATCCAAGCACTTTGGAGGCCAAGGCGGGTGGATCACCTGAGGTCGGGAGTTCAAGACCAGCCTGACCAACATGGTGAAACCCGTCTTAAAAAGAAAGAAAACAGAAAAAAAATAAAAAGAAAGATAAAATAATTCAATCTGAAATAAACTTTATCCAAAAGATGCCTGAGGGATTATGGTGTTAAAATTGTTGGTTTAGGCTGGGGATGGTGGATCACACCTGTAATCCCAACACTTTGGTAGGCCAAGGTGGGTGGATCTCTTGAGCCCAGGAGTTTGAGACCAGTCTGGGAAACATGGTGAAATCCTGTCTCTACAAAAAATACAAAAATTAGCTGGGTGCGGTAGCAGGCAGCTATAGTCCCAGGTACTCTTACTCGAGAGCCTGAGCTGGGAGGATCACCTGAGCCTAGGAAGGTCGAGGGTGCAGTGAGCCATGATCATGCCACTCCTCTCCAGCCTGGGTGATAGAGTGAGACCCTGCCCCTGTCTCAATATATATATTTATACACACACACACACACACACACACACACACATATATATACATATATTTGGCTTAAAGACTAAATTTTATGATTAAATAAATTTATCCTATATGTAGCTTATCATCATTGCTATGAATCTATTGTGATTTTTTTTAGAAGTATATCATTTGTCTTTTAAAACTGTATGTTGAATGTTAGCTAGGACCACCAGCATGTACCACCATGCCTGGCCAATTTTTCTTTTTAAAATTATTTTTGTGTGAACATGGGGTCTCACTGTGTTGCCCAGGCTGGTCTCAAACTCCTTGCCTCAAATGATCCTCCCACCTTGGCCTCCCAAAGTGATGAGGTTACAAGTGTGAGCCACCTTGCCTGGCAGTTTTATTATACTTGGATGCTATGGTGCTTATAACATATGATCAAAATACTGATGGATTGTAATAATAAAGAATACTTTCTTAATAACTTTGTAAAGCTCAAAGCTAATGTAAAAAGCTAATGACAATGATAATAAAGATTTGCCTGGCATTGACAAAAATAATGATTCTATCAACATAAGGGACTATTACCACAATTTTGTCTTAATTGGGTCATGTCTATAGATTGTTATATAAAAAGATTTTTTTTCCGTATATTTTTCTAGAACCATTTGGTGAAAGGCAAAAACAAGCAAAAATAAGAGTCAGAAAAAATTGGGTTAGTATTGGGAAAATAATAGAGGAAGAATTTTGCCTTGGAATTGGCTGATTCTAGTATGTCATTCCAAGACTCAAGTATAAACAGAGGTGTTTTTTTTAATCGCTTTTTAAATAGAACAGGCTATAACTAAGAATATATTTGTGATTGAATAAATTTAGCAGAGTATATTTGTAATTAGCAGAGATATTTCAGGTGTGAAATTATAAAGAGAAATATCTATAAACCTTACTTTTATGAGCTGAAAGTCTAAGGAAAATAAAAAATGCAGGAGTGTAAACAGATTGTTGGATTCAGTTAAGCCTCTGTTTTTCACGATCCTAGCATGAAAGCATTCTGTATGTCTCCCACAGTCACTACAATGCTTTCACTTTACTATGATTACCAAAAACCAGTACAGTAGCAACTTCTGTAAGCACATGCTGATAGAAAGGATGGTTAAGACAGAGAAGCTAGACTGTGGAAAGCAGCGCCACCTAGCGGCCGAATTTGTTTCTTACAAGAGACCAGCTTTGCTTTGCTTTTTTTTTTTTTTTTTTTTGAGACGGAGTTTCTTCCTTCTTGATGCCCAGGCTGGACTGCAATGGCGCGATCTTGGCTCACCGCAACCTCCGCCTTCCCGGTTCAAGCGATTCTCCTGCCTCAGCCTCCCAAGTAGCTGGGATTAAAGGCGTCCCCCACCATTCCCAGATAATTTTTTGTATTTTTAGTAAAGACGAGGTTTCGCCATGTTGGCCAGGCTGGTCTCGAACTCCTGACCTCAGGTGATCCACCTGCCTTGGCCTCCCAAAGGGCTGAGATTACACGTGTGAGCCACCACTCCCGGCCAAGTTGTATGAGTATATTCTACTGGACAGACTTGGAACACCCTTGAGAAGGTGAGTGGAAAGGCGGACCTTCTGTTTATCATTGTATTTACGCATTAGTGCCTAAAGCAGTTTTCTTACTTTCAGTAATAAATCATTGAGAAAAAGTGAAAAATAAGGAGTTAAATTTCTTACTCTCCATTTTTCAAAGAGTAAATAAAATTCATTTTCTTCAAGGGGCTCATTTCAGGGATCAGAAACCCATGTGCCATTAGGGACTGGGCATTTATGTTTATTTTACATAAATAAAAATTTAAAACATTTTGTTGTTTTAAACAAATCTGTGGGCAGAATTTGGCCTATGGGTCACTAACTCATGACCTCTGAAATTTCTTACTACATTTTTATTGAGGTATAATTTATAGACCATAAAATTCACCCCTTTAAAGTATAAACAAGTCAGTGGCTTTTAGTATATTCACAAAGTACAACCACCATATCTAGTTTCAGAACATTTTCATCACCGCAAAGGAAACCCCATACTCATTAGCAGTCATTTTCCCATTTCCCCATCCTCCAGCCCCTGGCAATCTCTAATGTACTTTCTGTCTCTATGGATTTGTCTATTCTGGACATTTCATATGACTGAAATCAATACAATATGTGGCTTTCTGTGTCACTTTTCATAGTATTTCCAAGGGTCATTCATACAGCATGTATCAGTACTTTCTTTTTATTGCTGAATAATATTCCATTACAAGGATATACTGCTTTTGTTTATCTATTCATCAATTGATAGACATTTTGGTGGTTTCCTTTTTGTGGCTATTATGAATAATGCTGTCTGAATATCTATATACAGTAACCTTTGAATGAACCTTTGAACTTAAATTCAAAGGTTACTGTATATAAATTCATAGCAGCATTAAAGATAAAAATTAGATTTTGGAACTTACAGATTAAAAATCTAGTTTTTAAATAGTTAAAACATTAATATGGTTTAACATTATACATACTAACAATTAAGATGGCTCAAATATATATAGTGGCCAGGAGCAGTGGCTCACACCTGTATCCCAGCACTTTGGAAGCCAAGGTGGGCAGATCACTTAAGGTGAGGAGTTCAAGACCAGCCGGGTTTTAGTAGAAACCCCATCTCTACTAAAAATACAGAAATTAGCAGGGCATGGTGGCATCCACCTGTAGTCCCAGCTACTCAGGAGGCTGAGGCAGGAGAATCACTTGAACCTGGGAGGTGGAGGTTGCAGTGAGCCCAGATCATAATGCTGCACTCCAGCCTGGGCAATAGAGTGGGACTCTGTCTCAAAAAAAAAAAAAAAATGTGTGTGTGTATGTATATATAGTGAAGTTTTTTCCTACCCCTATCTCCCAAATACCTAATTATCATCCCTTTCTATCCCAGTAGATTAGCACTATTAACAGCTTTTCTGTCCTTCTGGCATAGCAAACATTCTAGTTTCTCTCTCTGTCTCTCTCTAATAGAAGGGTAGCACACTTAACATGCTACTCTGCACCTTGCTTTTTCACTTACCCTGAATACCATGTCTTTCTAGACAGTGTCCTCATTCTTTTCTAAAGCTACACATTTTATTTGTTATGGCTGTACCGGAATTAATTTTAAAAGTTTCTCCTTGATGGATATTTTGGTGATTACTTAAATGATTTGATATTTATGAAATCCATTTGTAAACTAGTCATACAATAATAAGAAACCTACAAGATAGATATTATCAAGTTCAATAATAAGGAATAAAAGAAGCTACTCAATTTTAATACTAAACAGGAAAATTGAAAGAGGCCTGAGGCTGCTTTTTAAAATAAAATATTGTCATCCTCTCAACTGTTATGCTGTCAGGTAGAACTAGTTATTTGAAATAGAATGAAAACTGTCAAAGATACTGGCCTAGTTGAGAAACTTGTTTTTAACCTAACTTTTCCTTCTCAGAATATTTATCTTTATAGTCCCCAAATTTAGTTTAATGAGTCATTTTCATTAAATCTGATCACAGGGAAATCTCAGGAAATACCTGTGAGATTTTTCTTTTGTCTACAGTACTTGACACATCTTATATTTAATTATAAGGCAAGAGTTAAGATATGTACCTATGAAGTATACACAAAGTACAAATCAGATTAGTTCACAAATTCACTGTTTTCTTCTAATTGTTTTTTATGTAAACTTATTATTAGTTATGGGAATTTATTAGTTATTATGTGTTTATTATGTGAACTTATTAGTTGTTAGGTTGCAAAAGCAAAAGTATCAAGGAAACTTCATTATTTATTACTAGACAAAACAAGCTATTAAAGAGTTACAGTTAAAAAACTGGTAATTCTATCTATTATTATGTAAACACTAGAGAGGAAATACTACCCATTCCACTGTCTACGCCATTAGCTTCTGTACTATCACAACTTCGTTAGGTTCTCCAAAATAACTTTCATTCTTCACTCCCACATGAAACCAGATACCCAAAAGATACCCCAAATAATTGGACTCTGGGTACTTCAAAAGAAACATACTAAAAATTCTAACATATCATTACAAAAGCAGAGATACATTCCTTATTTTACCAATTAGTTGGAGAACAAAGGATTGAGGTGTTGGCTAATAGGTTGAGAGAACAATGGTGGTCATGGTTAGCCACGCAAGACACTATTGATAATGGCTGCTGACCTTACCAACGTATTTTCCGCAAATGCTGAGATGGGACAGTGTGGACTGTTCTAATAGAATGTTTAAGGTATTCATCATTACAGAAATTACTTCTTTGGCCATTGGTTAACTCTTCAGAGTGGGCCATATCAAGTGCTAACAGCTGAGTCTCACATTTCCTGAAACATCTTTCTTAATTTAACTTTCATCTAAGTTCTAGTCTGTAAATAAGAAATGCAAATAAGAACGAGGGGTCAATTTATTTTAAGTAAGTTTGTCATTAGATATCAGTGTGTACAATTTCAAACATTTATAAATCTTGCAATTTATAGAAAAATTAATGTAATCTTAAAATTATTTGAACAGTCGTTTTCACAATATTTACAATGAACACAACCTACTTTTGTAGAAACATTCATGTTTAAAAGTACCCCCGCCATAAAGGGATCATTCACAGTACCCTTCTATAGTATTTATGCCAGTTAAATGACAGGCGCATCAATAAAACTTAGCCGACTCAAGAATCTAGAAACAGCACAATCAGAACCTATTAATTCTAAACAAAACAGAACCTATTATAGTAAGATATAAATATTTCCCCATTCAGTACTCATTGAAGAAAATAATTAGGAGGCAATCTTTTCTTTACTATTTACTACAAAACAAAGTGATTTTAAGATACTTTTAAAAATTGAAGAAGCTACATTAGGTAACTTCTTATAATATGTGACATTAAATATTTTGAGAAATTCTTGGTTTCATTGGAAGACATTTGTAATGAAAAACCTTTTTTCAGTTATGATATTAAGCAGAGACAATTCTGTCATCCCAGATAGCAATTTCTTATTAACAATTGATAACATTTGAAATGAAAGAGATTCTTGGCTTTATTTCTAAACTTTTTTCTACTTAGGTATTTAACTTTTTTTTGATATCCTCTCATCCCCTCAATAGGACCCAAAATACACCTAAAATTAATTCAAAGGAAAGATAACTATTTGAATTGGTGCTTGTGTTTGAAAACAATATTTATAGTAGTATTCTACAGTTCTTTTTTTAAGCTAAGACAATTAAATAAAAATATCAGAGATAAGAAATATAGTTGAAGTCACAATGAAGTATATTTTCTTTTATTGACATAAAACACAAATTTTAAATGTTGGCTCTTTAAGAAAAAAACTCTCCTGGTAAAAATTATGCATAACCGTTGCCCAAAAATGTATACAGCTGTTTTCCAACATTTTATATACATAGTGGTTTACTTAAGACCAGCCCTGTTAGAACCTTCTGAATATAATGTGGTCTTAATTTTAAAATGGGCTACCCTCAGTATATAAAATATATAGGCATGTATGTTATACATACAAAGTAAAAAATGTAAAAAGGAAAGACGGAAGACAAAAGAAAGTATCCCTTTCCTATAAGATCCAGACAGAAAGTCATTTTAATTAGTGGGACCATGGAAAATATCTGAAGAATTTCAGTTTTGGCAAATACTTTTCAGAAAAATCTCGAAGCTGTGAGAACACCAAATGTCAGTAATTTAGTAGAGGTTTCTATGTTGCAGTCTTCTACTAAATAGAAAAGAAGACTTGGGGGGTGTCTGTTAAATGCAAAAAGCTGCTCATTTTAACAGGTTAGTAATAACCTTTTAATCAAACATATGTTATGCAGAGACCCAAATCCTAGTCCAATAGTGTTTGAGTATGTTTGATGGAAGGTTCCAATGGTGAGGATCTGAATTCTTCCAAGATTTTAGTGGGAATGGAGCACGATGCTATGGCAATGGAGGGGGTCAGCCCCAAAGGTAGCTGGCCCAACCTTAACTGTGGATGTTTAAAAAAAAAAGCCACCAAATGTTTCCATAGCATTCTTTTTGCTGCATTTTCTTTATTTTAAGCTACAGGTCTGCTTGGAGGGTCATGCAGCAAGTGGCTTATAAATAAAATCAAAGTCTATGAATAGTGTCATCGCATTAAGAGACAGAATTGCTGGATTCTTTCATTATGTAAAAAGCTTGAATCTTGGAATCCATGAGTTGGTAGTATTTATGGAATACCTGAAATGGGGAACAAAAACCATATATGTCAATAATATGTGCATGCAATTCAGGAGTTAAAGCAATGAAGACTATTCAATCATTTATTAAGCTAGAAAGTCCATATGATTTCTAAACCATGCCTCACAATTAAAATGCAACAAATATAAAAGGGCCAATTCCAAAATTAGCAAATATTGCCATTGTTGTTAATTGTTTACGAAGGCAAACAATTTCCAGCCCTCTCAAATTGCAGTGTATGTCACCAAAGAGAGAACCTAAATATAGTGACCACATGCATTTTAGAAGCCTAAGAATCTGGACACTTAACGCATCTTTTAGCTTAGAGAGATGCCACGTCGCAATTTTCATAGACAAGGTCTTTTCATGATGTCATAATACCAAGGGAAAAACAAACCAAAAAATCAAAATTTTCAGCTGCAATGTTTTTTTCCTTTACTTTTCCAGACCATCATTATGCAGCCCAGAATACTCAGGATAATGAAAAGTAACAGAACTTTTTCTAAAACAATATATATGTTTCTTTATAGATTTAAATTACAGTTCTCATGGGAATGTTTACAGTCTTCCACCAAACATTCCTGAGAAGCAGAAAGAACAGATTCTATATATATTTATGTATACAGAAGCCCTTCGTAAGGTAATTCAAAGAAAAAATAAGTTTATTTGGACTAGTGGTTGCATTTTTGGAAACAATATTTACAATATTTTCTGTAGTATTCCATAGTGTTTTCTTCTTTTACTGATACCAAACTAAGGTATCGTTAGTAGAGAAGCAGGCAATTTGAACAAATTTATTCTGAATATGTTTGAACATTCAGAATATGGAAAAAAGTAATATAATCTAGTTTTAAATTCTCATGCAAGTAACCGAAATTTTTTCATTAAAAGATAATCTAATGTTCTGCAAATAATTTTCTGTAAATAATTTTCATTCCACATTTATATATAGCACTAAACTGATAATGCCAAGGCAAATGAATGTTTGTGAGATCTTCACAAACAGATGTTCCCTCTCGTATTACTAAAGTTTAAATTTTATGTCTCAAACTCAGGTCATTACCTTATTAAATAAGAGAGAGAATTTAACTCTTTCCCTAACCATGAAGATTTCTTTTAAAGCTTCAATTTTATGGGAACATACAGAATAAAAAACATCATTTCTATTTAAGCCAGTAATTTTAAGAAAAACTGAGCTATCATCAGGAGTGGCTTCCAAAAATAGCTATTATAAATTAATTAAGATTATGCAATCTATTTCATAACATGCTGAGCCATTTTACTTTTATTAAAAGAGTATTCAGCAGAAGTTAATGTGGAAAAATAATTCTGTTTTCATTTCAACAACGATTTATTTAAGCAACAATTTTTAAACCTTCAGTTCACAAAATATATTCTTTTAACTGAAATAAAAGTAACTATAAATCTTCCCTGGTTTTAGAGTTTTACAGGAACTCTGCTGACATGCTATGGCTGAAAGTCTTGCCAGAATTCGATGTTAAGAGTTGCTTAGCAAATTTTCAGGAGCATCAAAAATAATTTATATATATGTGAAAGACAATTTAATTAATGTCAAAATTATACTTTAACTTTCAGCAGTCAATTTGGAAGTCCTTTCATTTAAACATTAGTATTTTCACTTTTGCTTATTGCTGCAGCTGACAGCAGAATGTAGTCCCTCCCAAAGAAATCATCACATTAAAAATTTTAAAAGGTTAAGCAGAGTCATAGTTCTTACTTCTAACTGCCCCCAGAGATTGGTCTAACTAATGAGACCTTTAGTTGATTTTCCAGCTTCCTAGACATAGAAAGAATAAAAAACACTGAAAAATTTCTGCCAAGTTATACACGAAAACATTAAAGCTAACTAATATAATTGTCTAATTTAAAGAGTAACTAACCTGAGATGTACCTTGCTCCGATTAACATTACCATGCTACTCACTATAAAAAAGCCCAAGGGCAGACTACAGAAGATACTAGGGTCACCTGTGGTCATCCAAGCAGAAGAGAATTCCAGTCAAGCAAACCAAAAGAGAGACACATAATTACAATATTTGTGTTAAGAATCACAAGATAGCAAAACAAAATAAGCTATAAAAAATAGTATATTCATAAAAGCTAGCAAAGAGTTACTACTTCAAATCAAAAATATAATCAGTATTGAAGACTTATGACAGTTAACAAACAATACAGATAGCATGCCACACAGCCAAGAACATAATATGTATAGACCAACCAACGTTAGCCTTCCACTGGCAAAGCCAGAGAGAGCCTATGGATAACTTTTTGGGAGGCTGTTAATTTTAGCTTTCTTGATTCTTCCCCAAAAGATACTAAATGATCTATATAATTCTGTCCAATTTCAAATTCTAGGTCCTTTGGCTATAAGAGAAGAGTTATATTAGTGTCCTAAGATGAATTTAAAACTTTATTTTTGCTAAAATATTAGTTCAGTTTTATGTTTTGAATAGAATGTGGTACGTAACAAAATGCATCTGACAATATATTTACTTTTTTCTTTTTTTTTGAGACAGAGTCTCACTCTGTCACCAGGTTGGAGTGCAATCTTAGTTCAATGAACCTCAGCCTCCTGGGTTCAAGGGATTCTCCTGCCTCAGCCTCCCGAGTAGCTGGGACTACAGGCACGCACCACCAAGCCCAGCTAATTTTTGCATTTTTAGTAGAGACGGGTTTCACCATGTTGGTCAGGATGGTCTCAATCTCTTGACCTTGTGATCCGCCTGCCTTGGCCTCCCAAAGTGCTGGGATTACAGGCATGAGCCACCATGCCTGGCCTCTGACAATACATTACACATATGAAATGTTAAAAATTGTTTACAAAGCATTCAAATATAGTCACAAACAAGAAAATAAATATGATTGCTTCAAAATTGGCAAACTGCTTTGGAACTTAAGGAAGCCTAATATTCTTCCCATGAGATAAGATACAGGTAGCAATTCTAATATCCTTTCAAGTGTATTGAAATAGGATTCTATCTGTACTGCTATTATCATATAACTTAATATACAGTTATATAGCTTATATTGCTTAAAGGAATACAACTAGCATTTTATTAACTGATGATTACTATTCCTAGATTATTATACAGCTTAGAGACCCCCAAAATATTACATTTTAGAGTGTTTTCCATAAATCTATTTAAAAAACATTTTCAAACTGGCCTAAGTCCACTGCAGCCTAACTGAAAACAAAAACAAAATTCTTAAAAATATATATATATAACTCTCTGGCCAGGCGCCGTGGCTCATGCCTATAATCCCAGCACTTTGGGAGGCCAAGGTGGGTGGATCACAAGGTCAGGAATTCAAGACCAGCCTGGCCAAGATGTTGAAACCCTGTCTCCACTAAAAATACAAAAATTAGCTGGGTGAGGTGGCGGGTGCCTATAATCCCAGCTACTTGGGAGGCAAGAGAATCATTTGAACCCAGGAGGTGGAGGTTGCAGTGAACCAAGATTGAATTGCACTCTGGCCTGGGCAACAGAGCAAGACTCTGTCTCAACAAACAAACAAACAAAATAAATAAAATTCTCAAAAAAATCAAATTACTTTTATCATCAATGCTGATAGCAGAAATTGAAGCAATCATATCTTTTTTTTTTTGCTTGTTTTATCAATTTTTTCGTAGCATTTTAAATTCACTGATAGTAAAATACACAAACAAGGGGAAAATGATCAGTTGATTTTGTGGGAATTTTGCAGTGAAAATTACATCCTGAACTGCTAGTGAGGAAAATTGTGTATGTGTGTGTAAGGCATGGGGTTGGAGAGAGGAAGACAGGAGGATTGGGCCATTTTAAAACATCCAGCTAGTTACAGAAATCATGTAACTCAATTTCTTATAAGCAAATAATTAAGGGCAACTAGAAAAGAAGACAGGGCTTACATCTGTTGTATCTCACACAGCAATTAGTACTGTGCTAGAAAGTACTTATGATTGAGAAGTTTAATTGTAAAGGGGCACTCAAAATTACAGTCTTAGCAAGAAAAGCTTTGCCACCATCTTGGAAAAGGAAGCTAAGTCTCACAACAAAAGATACTAAGCTTATTTAGGAGTAAAACAACCAGGACTAAAAATACAGACCACAATGATCTGTGGTAGTAGATGCTTCTGGAAGCTTCTCCTAAAAAACAGATACATTAAAAAAAAACAGATACATTAACTTTGGTGTTGGAAGGCAGGTATTATTTCATTTGTCAACTCTTCTCCATTAAAATGTACACTTAAGCCAGGTGTGATGGCTCATGCCTGTAATCCCAGCACTTTGGGAGTTGGGAGGCCGATGTAGATGGATCACTTGAGGTCAGGAGTTCCAGACCAGCCTGGCCAACTGGTAAAACCCTGTCTCTACTAAAAATACCAAAAAAATTAGCTGGGCATGTTGGTGGGCACCAGTAATCCCAGATATTTGGGAGGCTGAGGCAAGAAAATCATTTGAATCTGGGAGGCAGAGGTTGCAGTTAACCAAGATCACACCACTGCACTCTAGCCTCAGTGACAGTAAAACTCTGTCTCAAAAAAAAAAGTATATGCTTCAATATATTATTTGCCATTGTTCCATTCATTATGCTCCACATCTTGCATTTAGCAAAAAATAATAATATTATGCATCTTAAGGCTATTTAAATCTAAATGGTTTACTTAAGCTGGTCACCTTCCTAAGTGTTAAAAGGTAGAATAGTCCACTAATTTTTCTGCTAAGAGCATTTCCCAATATATTTATAAGAGTTCCAATTTACTGTGTTTGGTATATTTCTTTCTTCCTCTTTGATTCCAAAGGAATTCCCATCATGTACTTGAAATCAGCCTAGGAAGTAGCAGAATATTTTCTGAAATTAATACAGCTTTCAGTTGGCTCAGGTAATAAAGACAGCCACCCAAAAAGGTAAAGTAAGAGGAGAGTGAGAACAAAATGAAGACTCTACTTGATTTTTTTTCCATTAAGAAGAAACTAGAAATAATTTTACTCTTGGAAGACTAAGTTGTCAATTGAAGTACCAAGAATAACCTAATAAGAAAAGATATGGCAGGATAGAATTGAAGTATATATATCAACCTGAAAATTTACATTTTGTGTTTAGAACTTTAAAGTGTTTTCAAAATGTTAGAATCTCTGGACATATGATAATGCTTTTCTTCAGAGTAGCCTGGCTATGTATAAATGGCTAGATACTTAAATAACTAACATACTAAGAAAATGTGGTAATAATAAACAAAAACATTTTTACCACTTTCTGGAGATTGAGTTGTAACCCAACCCATTGACTTCATCACAGCTTTCTTCCATGTAGAATAACGAATTTCACTTTCTAGAATTAGAAGGTAGGAAAAACACAGATGAGAAGTAATTTGCTGAGATATCCTAAATACCATACTATGGTCACTCAACATTCTTGACAAATTATTGTACACATTAAACTGCAGTGGGGCTTTACCAGGACTCAGATTTGAAAGCACATGGTTGCTGGTGACTGCTAGTGACTGGAAGAGATGCTTGCTTGGAAGTTGGAGTGAAACAGAACACGGGGAGGCTGGGTGTGGTGGCTCATGCCTGTAATCTCAGCACTTTGGGAGGGTGAAGAGGGAGAATTGCTTGAGCTCAAAAGTTCAAGACCAGCCTGAGCAATGTAGAACCCTGCCTGTAAACCTAGCTACCTGGGAGGCTGAAGCAGGAGGATAATTTGAGCCTGGGACGCGGAGGTTAGGGTGAGCTGAGATCACACCATTGCACTCTAGCTTGGGTGACAGAGTAAAACTAGATCTCAAAAACAAACAAAAACAGGAAGGGGAAATTCAGCAGGGTAAAGGGAGACTGGCAGACAGACTGCCTGCTATGCAGACTAGGCCACTCACAAACAGGTGGTAATGAATTAGAAAGGGGAATACCATTTGATCTGTTTTCTCTTCTTTTTTGGGGAAAGGGTACGTTATAATGTAAGAAGATTAGAAGGAGATGTTTTTATTTTAGTCAGAAGATTTAACAAACACTGTTTTCTCATAAGATTTGAGTTGATTATTGACACAGCCCCATTACCCCCAACCCCAGCATCCTAAAGCAAGATTTTTTAAAGGTGGAAATCCACAACATAAAGACTAAACAAAAATGAGCTTGATGCTGTACTTCTAAGGATGCTGAACCACATATGCGGCTACCTTTCTCTCAAGCTTCCCAGACTTTCCATAGCACCTGAACCCTGCATTACCCAGGAGACAAGGCTCAAGAATCACTCAGTTCAGAAAGTTTTCCAGTGCCCCATTTCTATCTCCCTCTCTCTTTTCACATATACTCCAGGATGTCAGCCATCACAGTGAATTTTTATGGTTTTGTCTACTGCTTCTAACATACTTTAATATTCTGAAGGGCAAAAGAAGATAAGAAGATAAGGCCTTGCTTGGGCATGGTGACTCACACCTATGATCCCAGTACTTTCGGAGGCCAAGGCGGGCTGATCACCTGAGGTCAGTAGTTCAAGACCAGCCTGGCTAACATGGTGAAATACCATCTCTACCAAAAATACAAAAAAATTAGCTGGGCATGGTGGCACGTGCCTCTAATCCCAGCTACTTGGGAGGCTGAGGCAGGAGAATCATTCAAAACCGGGAGGTGGAAGTTGCAGTGAGCCAAGATCACGCCATTGCACTCCAGTTTGGGCAACAAGAGCAAAACTCCATCTCAAAAAAAAAAAAAAGAAAGGAAGATCAGGTCTTACTTATCTCTATATCCCCATATCAATACAGTCTCTGGCCTATGGTTGGCTATAAACAACTGTTTGCTGGAAAAATGGACAATCTATTTCTAGGTGCCCATTCGTTTATGGGGAGGAATGAGGGCTGGTGAGAGGGAGGACCATAGGGTATGACTGATCCACTCCAGGCTAAGGCCTTCAACACCAGCAGAGATGGCTCTCCTAAGAGTAGGATGGCTGTCTTGGCATATAACTTCCTTGCTTTAAGAGTAAGATTAGCATTTAGAGGCCATATATTACTCTGGGCATTATTTGCTTATTATAAAGTTGATTTTTTTTGAAAAGTAGAAAAATTTTTCGAACTTCATATTTTATCCAGTATTGCAAAAGTTAAAAATGACAGAATATCAGATGTTGAAATGCATTTCTAAATCAAGGTATATGATATACTCTGACTATAAAATTACTAGTATTTTAAATCATTTTCATATATGTTAAAAGAATGAATAAAGTTGAGAAACACTGGCAAAGTCTCCCGGAAAACCAAACAAAAATCCTTATTCCCAATATCTCAAAATCCACTTTGATGCTTTTTTTTTTGGGAAGAGACAGGGGTCTCATTATGTCGCCTAGGCTGGACTTGAACTCCTGGCTGGGCCCAAGAGATCCTCCTGAGTAGCTTGTACTGTAGACATACATCACCATTCCCAGCTGATACTATTTTATGCATACGTTTCTAAAAAGTTGTAAAACCAATTCTAATATATAAAACCTTATTTTTCTAATCACATTTACTTTAAAAGATGCATCACTACATTTTAGTAAAAGTGCTGACCAGAGCTTGTGGCTTAGCATAGTTAGCACAGTGAATCACATTATCTAATGTTCACTTACTTAAATTGTTGCTGCCTTCATCAGGTTAGTCCTGCTGTGCTTTAAAATTACCAGAATGTCTCTTAACCCAGCTAATTATGTCCTAAAGCTGGGCCACTGGCACCAAAGATGATCTGGTGTAGACATTAGGGGTGAGTGGCTGATATATCTTCCTTCTCACTTTAAAAAATGCTATTCTAACTAGCTACACCTGACAGTGTGGCAGTATTATTCTCCTACACTAAAGGACCATAAACAGTAAAAGTGAATAGTTTTTAAAAAGTGATTTTAGAAGTTCTTTTGATAAGAAGCGATTTCTGTCATTCACATTTATTCAGTAAACCCAATATGCTTAGTAGCCGAATCTGCAATGATAACATTTGCAATTTTACTTGGTTCCTTAACTTTTAACTAAACAGAAAAACAAAACTCCCTTGCACTAAGGTCATTTTCACAGTATACCACTAAAACTTTCGTTCTTTAAATGTACCCTCAGCATTAATCTGAGGTTCAAACCGCTCCATTGTGACGGCAGATAAATCTTCGGGTTCAAGACTCCATACGCCGACTCCTTCTGCAGCCCCTGCTGCCATGGCAGCACCCAGTGCAGTGGTTTCAGGCATCGAGGGCTTCACTGAGGGAGAGAGTTCCATCAACATATTTGTGGTTACATATGCCCAAAGAACTAGTTCTTCCACAAGAAACATTACTCCAGGAGTTTAAAGGAATGAAGACTTACTAACCTACTGGAATATACAGAATGTCTGCTTGTAGCTGCATAAGAATTTTGTTGCTGGTCATTCCTCCATCCACCTGCAAATGACTGAGTGGAATTCCACAGTCCCGATTCATGGCATCCAAAATCTTAAATAAACCAATGCAATTAATGCTATAACTCTATTTCATAGTAACATCTCTGAAAATGGCAATCCTCCACTCAAAAAGTCTCAAGAGCTTCCAAGAGCCTACGGAATAAACTGAGACTTCTTATACTGGTCTTCTAGACCCTCTTTGATCTGGTCACAGCCAACCTTTTCTCTCACTACACCTCTGTATTCACCCTGATACTCAGCTAAGCTATACAACTCTATATTGCACCCTGTTTTTCTGTCTTGATGCCTATGTTTGTGCTGTTTCCTTTGCCTAATGTGTATCACTCAACCTGCCCACAACCATAAAATTCCCAGTGCCTGACAGGGAACAGTAACTTAGAAGGTAATAACAGCTGGAAAAGGGGGAAACCCCTACTTATATTTAGATTAGTATTTAGGCAGGCTTAATATTTGATTAACTACATTTTCAGTACTAAATAATCTTGGGCAATAACATATAACTTAAGAGTGATAAAAGTGAACTAAGTACAAGAAAAGAGGCCCATATTTGTTACCTCTCGAGTTTGGAAACAAACAGCTTCTAACGCAGCAAAAGCAATATGGCATTTATTGGTGAACTGAGTGAGTCCGCAGATTATCCTAAAAATACACAAAAAGATTTTCAGATTAGAATGGTATAAACAAATCAATCAATTTGAAATATCTCAAATATGAAAAGGTCAAATTTGGTAGACAGAAATGTTCAGGAAGAGAAAACTAGACATAATCATTAACTCAAAAGTCCTTATATTTCACAATTCTACATTCACATATGAAAAAGTTCATGATGCATTTGAAGAGATGATGGCATCATAAAACTGAATATTTGTTATGATGTTGTCCCTTCACTATACAACTTGCAGACACCTTGAAGATAAAAGATAATAACATGAATATGGATATGACAGGGGTTACTGTCAGCTAATTCATAACTTCTTGGAGCTTAAAGCTTCTGAAATTATACTCTCCAAAAACAAAAGGTTTTCTCCAACACATTAAAATCATTTGAAACTAGATAAGAAGCTAATTAGTTATTAACTGCTTTAGTAAATATATCAAGATCCCCAAAACTACACCATATTTTCAACACTTACCCTCTTGCACTGGGCTCCCAATAAGGTGCATATAACCCTGAAAATGCTGGGACAAAGTAGCAGCCATAAGAAGTACCTACTTCTTTAGCAAGTTTTTCTAACATTAAAAAAAAGGAAAAACAAAAGTTACACAAATATTCTGTATTATTAAACAAGCATACCTATTTTAAAAATTAGAAAAATTAGAACAGGGATTTTTGTTTCCAATTCATTGGTAGAGCAAAATGTTGCCAACTACAGTAGTAGGGTAGGATCAACAAAAATCAATTTATTCCGCATTAAAAACGCCCCACTAAAATGTGGCCTAGCCCAAGAAATCAAGGAACCAGATTAGTTTCTTTAAGGTGTTCTAGCTCATTTCCACTATTTTGAAGGTTGCTGAATAGGAGATGAAAAAGTGGCCTCTAGTGTGTCCCTAATCTGAAATGTATTTCTGATTGTCTCACCTTCAGGCAAAGCTAAACAAGTGGATGAAAGAGTGAGTAGGTAAGTTCAAACTAATATGCTATGGACTGAAAACAGCCATAATAATACTTAAATTATAGTACCAGAGTTTTAATGCTCACTCTAATCTAGGAGTTAAAGCTTTTTCTCATCAGACAAATTTAACTCAATTTCTCTATCTACAGGTTCTGGCAATCTCCAGTGTTCAATTTTATACTTGGATAATTTTTATGCCCTATGTTGCCAGTTTATTAATAACCACCACTAATTATGTCAATTCCTTGTTTTATCAATCTTCACAAAATAGTCTTTTGTATAAGTCAAACTCGTAATAGGGAGCCATATAATTTATGAATTACATTTGGGGCAAAGCGTTAAGTATTTACAGATTGCAGAGATAAAACACTGAAATGTGTCATTTTTTAGATTTTCTAACCTTTTGTTAGAACACACTCACCAATTTCTTCTGAGCTCTCTATAATTCCAAGATTGTCTCTTAGCCAGCGAATAACAGCACCAGCTATAGCTACAGAACCCTAAAGAAAAAAAGGAATCCAAGATAGAATATATTTTATTACTACCAAAGGTTTTTATTGAGCATATTTTCTGTGTATGACACAATCAGAAGGACTGAATTCAGTTTCCATTTTGGGACTCCACAGATATGATAAACTTGGTCTTCTAATACAAACATAGTTTTGTCTAAGTCACTAATAAATGTTTTTAATGGGATGCAGGAAAAGAAGTAAGCCCTTCAGCACACCTTTGGATTTGTCCCTAGAGGTGGACATGGATCTGTTGATGAGTTTGCGTCTTGAACAATTTTCTATCTATTGCTAAGTTATTGAGGTATGTTATCACTTTTAGAATATATTTCCATATTATCCATAAAATTATTGGGAAAGGCCACATTGAAAGTTTTTTCAAATCTGTTTCCCATACCTAACAGTACAGGAAATCAAGAAAAAAAAACAAAGAGGCTAGCTAGTAAGTAATTTTCTTTTCTTTCTTTTCTTCTTTTTTTTTGAAATGGAGTTTTGCTCTTGTCTCTGGAGTGCAGTGGCACGATCTCAGCTCACTGCAACCTCTGCCTCCCAGGTGCAAGTGATTCTCCTGCCTCAGCCTCCTGAGTAGCTGGAATTACAGGCATGAGCTACCACACCCAGCAAATTTTTATATTTTTAGTAGAGGCGGGGATTCAGCATGTGGGTTGGGCTGGTCTTGAACTCCTGACCTCATGATCTGCCTGTCTTGGCCTCCCAAAGTACTGGGATTACAGGTGTGAGCCACCACACCTGACCATAATTTTTCTTTAAAACACAATTGCCTAGGATGGCAATAAGGATAAAAATGTATTTCAGAATTGGATAAACTGGCTTTGAATGCCAGTTCTAGTTCTTAATTGCTGTGTAATCTTAGGCAAGTTACTTAGGCTTTCTGAGCCTCCATTTCTTCACCTATAAAAGGATGACTATGACAACACTTAACTAACTCCTGTGAGGCTCAATATGAAAATATATGTGAAGGGTCTTACTAAATGTAAATATTGACTTCAATAATTTTTTTTTTTTTTTTGAGACTGAGTTTCACCCTTGTTACCCAGGCTGGAGTGCAATGGTGCGATCTCGGCTCACCGCAACCTCCGCCTCCTGGGTTCAGGCAATTCTCCTGCCTCAGCCTCCTGAGTAGCTGGGATTACAGGCATGCGCCACCATGCCCAGCTAATTTTTTGTATCTTTAGTAGAGACGGGGTTTCACCATTTTGACCACGATGGTCTCGATCTCTTGACCTCGCGATCCACCCGCCTCGGCCTCCCAAAGTGCTGGGATTACAGGCTTGAGCCACCGCGCCCGGCCCAATAATTTTTTTAATATTAAAAAAGTATCAGCCAAATACCACTTACTGATGAAGAGATAAAACACGGTATGTCTACACAATGGAGTACTATTGGACTATGAAAAGGAATGATGTCTTAATACATGCTACAACATGGATGAGCATTGAAAACATTATGCAAAGTGAAAGAAGCCAGGCACAAAAGACCAGACATTGTATGATTCCATTCATATGAAGTGTCTATAACAGACAAATCCATAAAGACAGAAAGTAGCTCAGTGGTTGTCTAGGGCTGGGGGATAGGGGGTGGTTATGGGGTTCTTTTTGGGGTGATGACAGTGTTCTAAAGTCAGATTGTGGTGATGATTGTAAAAATCTGTAAATATAGTATTACTATAAACCATTGGACTGTATACTTTAAAAGGGTAAATTGTGTGGAATATGAATTATATCCCAATAAAGCTATTATAAAAAGATCCCGAAGGCAAAAAAAAAAAGAAGTATCAGCGCAAACCATTAGGAATTCCAAGAAATTTTTTTAGCTCTGATATTTCATTCATCTAGATTATTAATGTAAATTACTTCCACAGAGTCACTCCAAACCAAATGTCAGTGGTATTAAATGTAGGGATCTGTACCCAGTTCTAGTAACTGAATTACGACTGGTCATGCCTTCTTGTTGTCAGTTGTCAAGAAGTAAGTAAACTAGAGAATGAATATGCTGATATATTCCATCATTCACAGCTTCTATGAAAAGTTACTACATTGCTGCAAAGCTGTATAATGACAAAATTGTTGTTTATACATTTTTATATATGTAGAGATACATATAGTACTCTGTAACTCTGTATCTATAAAATGGCTTTTTAACCATAAAAAGCATTTTAGGAACAGATCTGACATAGCTATGTAAATATGACAAGGCTTTAAAAATGGGACAAAAACAATTCAACAAATACCTTACAAGGGACTCTAACACACTCATTCCCTGCCTTAAAAAGTTTTGTACTTCTTAAGTTTGATACATTTACATATTTAAGTACTTAGTAGGATCATTCAAGAGAACTAAGTAAAATTTTGGTTTAAAGAGACTCTCAAATTTCCTTTGGAAACAGATAATTCAGAGACAGCAGCTGCCAAATACTAGTAAATATGTAAGATTTTCTAGATCAATGTCATCCAACAGAAATAGAAAGTGAGTAACATATGTAATTTACATTGTTGCCACATTAAAGAGGTAAAAGGAAGGTAAAATTAAGATTTCCTTTAACCCAATATATTAAAAATATAATTTCAACATGAAATCAGTATTATTGAGATATTTTGCTTTTTAGTGCTATCTTTGAATTCTGGTATGTACTTCACACTTCAAGCACATCTCAATTCAGACTAGGCACATTTCCAGTGCTCAATAGCTGCATGTGGCCACGGCTGCCATGGGCAGTATAATTCTAGACCTAATTGAAAAAAACAAAAACAGGGGTCCCTCCTCCTTTTACTCTCGAAGACACTGTCCTTAATCGGCATCTAACCAAGAAATGCATACAAAATAGTTTTAGGCAAGTAGAGTTAAACTACGAATTTTTAGAAGCCACTGTGCTAGAAGTCTAGTAAAGTGACTTTGGGGCTCAACTGGTGGGATTATACTCCAGGAAACCAAATGCTGATATGCCTCATTTCTATTGAAAAAGATAGGATGTTACATGCTTACACCATATTTTTAAGAGGAAGCAATATGATTTTAGTAAAAGGAAAATCAAGGTTTTGATTAGAGATAACTGGCTGAGAATCAGAGTATTATTTAGATTAAAACAAAAGAAAAAAAATGCATAGTCACTGCTAAAGCTCCAGGAGACAACTGTTTTAATTTTTGTCATCAGGAAGCATTTTATTGTGATTGAAAATATAGATTCAATACAACACAATAAAAGTTAGATAAAAACACTTATCTGAAAGAAGTAGATAATTTTGCTGTCAGGATATAATATATGGTAGGATTTAGCTTTTAAGGAAATTAATAAAAATGAGAAACACCTCTAAATTCACAAAAGACGTGGTCTTCTGAATTCAGAGGTAGGAAATAAAATGGAAGATGGTATAATGCTTCAAAACTGGACAGGAAAAGAGTATAGCAACAAAAAAACTACAATGATAAATAGAAGGTGACTGTCTACTTGTTATCAATTAAGTTACCGTAAATTACATCCTAAGTATGAAGACCCAGTACTTCAGTGCATCATCTACAAATTTGAATCAGCCCTTGTTCTGTTATGACTCCCTGGAAAAGATGCATGCAAGCCTAATAGTTGTCCACTAAGGGAGATGCAATGAAAGCAAGAGGGTGTAAAGAATAATAAATTATAACAGGGCAAGAGGAATAAATTATTTTAAAACTAGACATGTAGCCTAGAAAGTAAAAGGCTAAGAAATAGGCTATAGGAAGATTGAATTAAAAATAACCAAGTAGATCTCATGTAATGTCACAGCAGGCACACTTTTCTTCAAAAGCTCCTTAACATGAATGCCACTGCGACAAACAGTATAAAAATAAAGCAGGATATTTCAGGATGCAGTAGAATTGTAGCTTACAAGGCAGTTAGGGTGAAAATTGGTAAATATGAAGAAAAATCACGTAAAATAAAGATTACCCTAAATTGCTTACAATCATCTATCAGGCATAGCAAACAGAGTTTTCTGTATCCTACAGTACTATGTATCTGTATGTACAGAATATATAGTGTAATTAATTTGTATATATTAGATTACAAATGCAGTGTCTAACTCTATAGCATTTTTAATCACACAGAGAAACGGAACAGAGTTGAATTGGGACAACATTATTTTGAAATGTAATAGATTTCATTAATACTTTGTAGTAAGTTGGAGAATTAAAATTAAAAGCATTTGGCTGGGCTTGGTGGCTCACACCTGTAATCCCAGCACTTTGGGAGGCTGAGCCGGGCAGATCACCTGAGGTCTGGAGTTTGAGAACAGCCTGACAAATATGGAGAAACCCCATCTCTACTAAAAATACAAAATTAGCCAGGCATGGTGGTGCATGCCTGTAATCCCAGCTGCTTGGGAGGCTGAAGCAGGAGAATCTCTTGAACCTGGGAGTCAGAGGTTGCAGTGAGCCAAGATCACTGCACTCCAGCCTAGGCAACAAGAGCGAAACTCCATCCAATAAATAAATAAAATAAAATAAAAAGCATTTATTGTTCAGAAAGTATACTTTTCAAGAAAGAACATTATAAAAGTTCATAAACAATGTTTACATGCTGTGGCAGATAGACTTGTAGTTAAGATGGCTCCCATAATCCCTGCCCCCTGATGTTCACACCCTTGTGTAATCCCCTCCTCTTGAGTGTGGTGATATCTGTGACTTTCTTCCACCCAACAGTACATGTCAAAAGTGATAGGATATTTGTGGTGATGTGTACGTGCTTACATGATTTATTTTGCCTGTCTTGCTGGATATATTCCCTCCCTTCCTGACTTTAAGGAAGCAGAGGAGCATTGGGGGTCCCTCATGTAGCAGGGAACTGCAGGTAGCCCTAGGAACTGAGAGTGGCTTCCATCTGACAGGTAACAAGAAACTGAAGTCCTCAGTCCTATAACCACAAGGAACTGAATTTTGCCAATAACCTGAATGAGCCTGGAAGCAGATTAAACCTCAGATGACAGCACAGCCTGAGTCCA